TTCGAATCGCCGGTCTAATGGAACGATTCGTTCCCTAATACGCGCGCGCGTTCGCGTATTTCGCGGCATTCGACGAGCGTTTTGTGCGCCATCCAGAATTCGGTGCGTCGAGGGACATGAAGGGACGGCTTAAACATTGAGGGAACATCGAGGGATAGCAGTAAAGGGATTAATCCGAGACGGGAGATTGCCGCTCGTTCATCCTGGTGAGTGTTTATATGCGCCATTTGTCGAATTTTCGTATATATACAGCTCTCTTTCTCTCTCACATTTGCACAAAATCGAATCTGTTCAATGTAGGGGAATAAAAATCCTTCCTTCCACTCATCGTTTTTTATTCTTTCGAGAAATGAAAAAATAAATAGTATTATAAGTATAAAGAATAAAATTAGAAACCAAAGTAAAATTTCTTAAATTTTCTGAAATACATTTCTTATCAAAGATAAATAGAAATCTAGACAATGGGCAATTTTCATACTTGTTCTTAAAATTTACATACAATAAAAATCGTTATATGCTAAAACACATGCTCGACGACGAAATATTAAATTATCGGAACGGTCGATAGCGACCGAGGGCTAAAAATTAAAAGTTTGGCGAAATATCGTAATCAACAGGGTCGGTTGCAGTTTCGTGAGTCCTCGCACTCCGACTTAGGGGAGGGAGAGGGGGGAGGGGGCACAGAACGGCACGCAATAATCGGGGGGTCGGGCTCTATCGCGTGGCTCGATCGTTTGGGGGCCGCTATCTGGAATCTCGATCGCTTCTGATCGAGCAATTATTCCGTGGCACTTCAATTTTCCACGATAAATTTTTACCGCGTAGCGATCACCGGGCCGGAGGACACGCCAAAGCGCGGACGACACGAGAGGGTAGCGGGAAAAATTTGTCGGAAAAACGGATAGCCATTGTCTTCGGTCTGACGGAAGGTAGAGACGAAATTGAACCATCGATTATCGTCCGCCGGTTTGCATAGAAATTGCGGAAAATGTGAAAAACGATTTTGCAATATTTCGCGAACGAAGTATTGATTCATTTGAATAAATTAATGCTTCCTCAAATTCTTCTTCTGTATGTGTAGCGCGCGATGTTCTTTATTCATATAGTGTATTACCTTATTGCCGCGCAATTAGCGAAGCCTGGGACATAATGATATCCAAACTGCCTCGATTATAATCGACGGTGGAGCTTCCCGCCGGACGAAAACCTCGAAATCGCGACTCGCGCAACATGCAAATGCAAATACGAATTATAAATTAATGCAAATACGTATACCATGACTATAGATTGCCATATATATACACGTACATGTTTAATATAAGCGGCTCCTCATTCTCGGACATTGTACACGTGAGAATACATTTCGCAACTTTCGCGGGACGTCCTCCGCGCGCCGCGCCGCTCCGTGCCGCGATGCGCGCGTCCGCGCGCGGGACGGGGAATTTACATAACGGCATTTTACGCGCGCCAGATATCATGCGTGCAATAGTCAGACGTCAGACTCGTTCGGTCGCGCGCACCGGAGTATCACAGAGAGAGAGAGAGAGACGCCGAACGCGTATAACACATCGGGAAACTTGAGGAGCCTCCAGGCGGATCGACGATGTGTGTAATCGAGCGACATTGGTTGTGCAGCCAGTCGAGGAGGGCCGAGGGCCGCGCGGGGAGGGGGGGAGGGCTCCGTTGTATGCTTGCCGGGGAGTTTCGAGACTGTGTTGAAGGGGATATATCATCGGACCCCGTGATACAGTGTCCTTCATGCACGTTTCGTTGGATCGTACATCACCCGGATGTTGCTGCTGCTAGCACGCGGCGCGCGCGCGCGGACCTATATACCGATAGAATTACGTAATACGACGTCTTTGGCCTAAAGGCGCGCGCTCTCTTCGAATGTATAACGCCTCCCCCCCCCCTCCTCTCCGTATCGAAGCGATGGAAACAAAGTTTCGGCGAATAAGTCTGCTTTTGACTACACGATCACGCGGATCTTCCGCGAAGGACCTCCGGTTCCTTTATCCCGATTCTGCCCACCAATCTGTGTACGGGAATCGATCGTCTAAAAGTTTCGCGCTCGCCGGTTTTTCCAATTACTCGTCAGGTTCCTTTATCGGGGTGCGCTCGGAATAGTTTTTCCGTAGTTGTACGATGGTTTTCCACGTCGGGCAATTTAAGTAAAATATACAAGCCTCTGATGTAAAGAAAACTAACTTCCGATTTCATACAATCCTTCCTTTCCTCCTCCCCCCCCCCTGCTCCCCCGTCCACGTCTCCTCGGCATCGGGCTGATTCGTGAGGGAAGCGCGCAATTCTACCGCGAGTAATCGAAACAGTTGTCGAACGCATCGCATTTCAGCTTCGGATAATCTATGGTTTACAATGGTTCAACTAGGATACCTGTGACGTGGGCTGATTGACAAGATTCGCTTTGATAGCGCAATGTCAGAACGATAATTCGAATAGAGCCAACTGAGTGTGTATACGCGTCAGAATTTTTGTTATATTCAATAAAACGCACGATTGTTTCTCCTAAAAATATTACATACACGTATTTATTCTTGCTTTCTTTACTGTCATTTTTTGAAAGATATATAGGTCGCATTAATAATTCATTTTTAATAGCAGAAAATTTAACATCATTTTATCGATACAGCAAAATATCAATTGACGACGTATCCGGGCTTAAAACATAAATATTTTCAAGCATTCGGAAATGTATTAAAAGTAACATGTGGAAAATAATTGAAATTAAATATTCTTATTTTTTTTATAAATTAAATTACCGATCCGGTCATAATTATATATTAAATGAGATTTCTACATCCAATAACTAAAGATCAGATAATCGGATAATAATAATGGATTTAAAATTTATTCTCTATGTTTATTTTATTCTATCAAGTTACCTCAATATCATGTTCCGATCGTGTTCGAAACGAGTCACATCTTAATTTTTATTTCGCGGCGATCGATGTATGTACGTTGAGTAAATATAATGTAACTTCAAAGAGCTCCTCGTCGCCGGAGTAGTCCACTTACGTTGCCCCATTCTTCAGTGAGGGGAATCTCTTTGTTTGTGTTCGTATCAGTTGTCGCAGGGAAACTCTCCTTTTTGGATTTGAATGTTTTATCGTGTCGGAGAGTGGCATCGATTCCCCCCCCCCCCATTCTTACGCGACTGCCAAGAGAGAGGAGAGATGTCGGGTGCGCAGAATTTAAATCATTTCGCGCTGCATCGCGCTACGCAAATATTCCACACTTGTGTCTCTCCGCACACGGAGAGGCCGCGCCGCGCGCGCTTCAGCAAGGTAAATATAATTTAACTCGAATTATAAACATCACGCGCGCTGCGTGCCCGTGAGATGATATCTTTGAACTTTGGGCTCTATAAATCAGATTATTAACCCTCTGCCCGGAATATCGGTCATTATGACTGCTATAAAGTTTTTACTTGAATTGTGTTTTGAATTATTCCATTCCAAATGACCAAAGACCAAAAATTGGTTGAAAAGTGCGATAGCCCCTCAAAAAATGAATGAAATAACTCGTGTTTTTCTGGAATAGCGGTCATTATGACGAGATGTTCTATGTAACCGGGTATCCAGGGGTGTTCCGGATAGAGGGTTAAGGTAGTTTCTCGACATCCAGTCGCTTTATTCGCGATATCTCTTCCTAATCTTCCTACTCAAACTTTATTATCAGACTTCCTTCGCACTTCTTGATGCATCGGCGTCTTGATTGATTGCTTCCTGGAATTATTATCTTATCCGTTTCTACTTTCCTTACAAATGTCATCCCTATAATTCTTTCTTTTCAACTTTCCTGTTATTTTACCGTTAATAATGTTACATTTTTATTGTATTCCTCTTGCGCAGGGGACACATAAACAATAATTCGGGTTTAATCTTAATTAATAATTTATAATCTTAGTCTTCATAAGACTACACGGAAAGAACGATTTTGTTGAAAGGTTTAAAAATGTTGCTAAAAACAGATTTGAAAATAATTTTTTGTTAAATCATCAAAATAATTTGTTGGAATGTTAAAATTGATAAGCATTGCTGTAAAACGTTTTGATATTCTAGCAATCACTTTGACTTTCGCACAAAATTATTTTGATTTTTGAATAAAAATTATTTTCAGATGTGGATTCAGCAAAATTGTTCTTTCCGTGTATATAAGCGCTATAAGTTTATAGTTTATAATATATTCTTCTTATCAAAAAATGTAACATACGCCGCTACATTGATATTATATAATACCAAGTGAATTCTCGCTGGCGTTGACCAAGACCGGGATGCTGTTTCGTTCGTTGTATCTTACTTTTACGCGCCTTCTTGCGACCCGGCCTTAACAGCGCGTCGAGAAGGAAGCGGCGCGCTCACCTGTAGCGACGCGTGAAATAAGTCCGACTGCGAGAGGAGGCTTAACACCGGGCGCTCTGGTCCCGCCGTAATCACCGGGCTCTAAGTAAATCCAGGTGTGTCAGCGTAACTCAAAGCAAAGCTCGCGCCACGCGCACTCGGCGAGTGAGCGAGCCAGCGAGCGAGCCAGCCAGCCAGCCAGCCAGCCAGCAGCCAACCAGCCAGCCAAGCCAGCCAGCCAGCCAAGCCAGCCAGCCAGCCAGCCGGCCGGCTAAGGGAGCGTCGGCGCGAGTGGCGAGTGGTGCCCCGTGACGAGGAGGTCTCTCTCTCATCCCCCTCGCGGCCGCGTCACGGCACGTCGAAGAGGGATGAACGGTGTGGGCCGCTGTGGTGGTAGGGATGAACGGCGCGCTCTGGTCGGAGCAACCCCTCCGATTCGGTCTCGCTCGCGCGCGCGACGGGGGTGCTATGCGATAGAGCGGCGAGGGAGGAGAGGGAGGAGGGCAAAAGAGAGAGAGAACAGGAGGAGGATGAGGCGGAGAGGGGGAGACGAAGGGGGCGACTCGCCTCGTGCGCGTCGGATGTACGTAGCCTCGCGGCAGGTCGGGAGAGTTCAGTCTCGACGCGGCAGCGGCTACCCTCGTGTCGCGCTACACGCGAATTGCGACCGCACGTGCGAGACATGATCATGGGTGAGAAACGTGCCGTGCTGTGCCCGCGCCGACGACAGGTGCCCCTTCTGGTAGTGACCACTCTCCTGGTGGGCGTGCGTACGGAGCTTGTCGGTGAGTAAGCGATGCGTGTGCCCCTGCTGCTATTATACACACCATACGCATTCCATATCCGCGTTCGCATGCCTCTCTCGCGGCCGTTTGTCGATCGTCGATCTCTCCGCGGGTTTGTCTCGTCGCGCGTGCCGGGGTAAGGAGGGGAAACGGGGAGGGAGATCACGCAGATGACACCTGTAGTGCACCGGAGACTGTTAATTACGTCGCTCATTAAGCGTCTATCTATCGTCGCCTGTCGAGGTGGCGGCAGTTCGTGGGAAACTATGCCGGTACTTGCGATACGTTCGCAAAATCTGTGAGGGAGTATACAGCACGTCTTCTCCGCGGACGTACTTTGAGTAAAACTGCACTCTGTAATGCTGTTGATGATTGTACGACGAAGTTCATTTGGCTGTGATTTTATCGTGCAAGTTAAGCGAACTTTTTCCGAGTCTTTTTCTCGTCATAAAAGTTTCAATCGTAAAAGTAAATTTCTCTTTTCCCTGGACGAACCAATTGCGAAGTTCATCATTTCTTTATATCTGATTAATATGTGATCGAATTTAAATAAAAAATGTTATCGGATGTAATGAAAATTAATGACGGTAAGGATTCTTGAATGGTTCTCGATTACCCTCTGTACCCCCGAGTTTTAATTAAAAACCGATATAATCTTTTAGTTAGATGTTCTAAAATTATTCAAGAGTTTTAAAAGGAAGAGAGATGGGGGGGGGAGGGGGAATTATGTCACTGGGACAAGTTTGTGGACGACGTAGACGGGGATATATATCCCAGGCTTTTATCCTTTTATGCAAGTAAGATATTGATAACACTCTTCCTATAATGCGATAAAGAGACATCCACCTCATATAATGCTTAAGATAATACTCCGTTATAGTGGTATTAAAGCGGAAGTGTATATGCGCGTAGACCTCTTCCCGCCAATAAATTAGTGAAATCAGGAGTTAACGCGGAGGTCGATCGGGGTTTTTACACGTTAATTGGCGGATCTAATTGAGAAGGCCGGCGTGACAGGAATTTCGATGCTCGGTTTGCGTTTATGGTTTTAACGCGTTCCGATTTGTTCGCGGGCAGCCGTGCGACGAATAATTCATTTCATTGCCCTCGTCGCGCGTTCGTTTTTGCTACTCTTCAGTTGTTTATGACGTTTACGAGAGAGCGCGATGGAGATTCGCGGGTGATTTGATGTTGCGCTTTATTTTCGAATCATAAACGATACTGCTATCTGCGGTTTACATGTGTCACACGTGTCGTACCGGATAGTTTGTGACAACTTCCCTCCCTTTCTTGCGCGAAATATTAGCGTGTCTATACGAGAATCATAATTAATAAATGTACAACAATTGTACGAGCGCGCGAGGATCATTATTAAGTTTGAAATAAAATCGTGATACTACTTTAAATTAACAGAGAGTAAGGTATCGTAATTGGGAATCTTGTGTAACGCGAGAAAACGAGTCATATAATAAGAGTCAGAAATCCGTAATTTTCTCGGATTATATAAAAAAAACTCTGTTCTCGATTAGAAGTTCTGGATTAAGTGTACAACGACGATGATTCTTTCGACGTCGTAAAAAATTTCAGATTGCACGATTTAATTTATATATACAAAAAGACCTAGCATGGAAGTGTCTTCTTTTTCTCTCTCTTTCTCTCTCTCTCTCTCTCTCTCTCTCTCTCTCTCTCTCTCTCTCTCTCTCTCTCACCATATTGATGAAATTTTCCTATGCCGATGCATCACTGCGTGCAATTCCAGACTCGCAACGAGAGTATTTTTCGCGTCGCGGAAGAGACGCGTTTACCGCCCGATTCCGTTTTATGCTGTACTTGACAGTTCCGCGCGAAACTTCCGAGATCGAAATTGTTTCATATTCGTGAAAATTACGTTGGACGAGGTGTATAAGGTCGTACCGAACAAAAAGTGCGATACGCGGGGATTCATTTCTTAACGATCTCCCCGGTAGTTGTGTCATTAACTTTATTGCTGTTTCTCTAACTTCGTTTACATTTTAATTCTGCTAGGGGAATACCTACCGGTCCCCGGTAATTATGTCGCTAGACGTCAGCGTGAAATAATAACCTCCCACTTTCGTATAAAGTAATTATACGCAATTTTTTTTCCCCCGCGCGCGATGAAGGATATCCTGAGCGGAATAAGACTGTTTGCCATTTATTTAGTCAATTAGCGTTTCTTTTTAAATCCCGGGCATTGTTTATCGGGGGGGGGGCATTGTACCTGTGGAGAACGTGCGCATTATTATTAATTAAGTTTGAAAAACCGGCACGCTGTTTATCCGCGAGTCTGCATTCCAGAGGAAGAAAAGTTGCGTGCTCGCGCGCGCGCGCGCGAGAAAAGAATGCGTTTTCGAATGGGAGGCTCGAAGTTCGGTCGTAACATTATCGCGTTAATAAAGCACGCAAAATGCTTAATAGGTGTGTAAATTGAGTTGCGTCTTTATGAAATTATAAAAAAGTTGGCACGTGTAACAGGTGGTTTATATCGTGGCGATTGTTTTGCTCGATATTCGTAAGACTGTGTGATCGACGTTAGTCCTACAGAACTTCTGCCCCCGAATATGATTCGGTGATGTCAATTATACGAAGATGATACGATTGTCGATTTTGTCGATCGAATCATAATAAATCTGAGATAATCTGATAACGGCGGCTCGGTCATTATACACCAGACAATTTTCAATGCTGCTCTTTATTAATCTCGTCGAGAATTTATTCGCGACGCAACTCGAGCGCTATTAGTTTATAAAGATTTAAACGCCGTCTGTGAATAACGCTTCTGCATTAGTTATGATGAATTACGAGGAGAGAAAGAGACGAATCCAAACGTTTGCGGAGATTGTTGTATAGAAGAATAGACGGTCTTGCCTTTAAGGACAGACGGATCCCTCTGTTAAATCCTGCCGCATTATATTACGTCGGAATGCAACCGGAATGCTTTAAAAAATGTCTCAAGCGTCTTCTCGGTGTCCGCGAAGATCCCGAGAGCAATCGTGTATTTCAACAACATTTGTGGTCTCCTGCATTAATAACAGTGAGATAGAGTAACCGGGCATTCGGACGGTTAATATTGTAAAGGGTAATTTATCGCGTGCGCGACACGCTTTTCAAACATGAGATACAACGCATCGTTTTCTGACCGTTTTTCAAGGAGTTATTTATGCTCGGGTGTCTCTCTCTCTCTCTTTCTTTCTCTCCGAGAATACCGTCGATCGTCGCACTAACACACGTTTGCTGGAAATTTTTGCCACGCTGGTATGTAAATCACTTGTCCGTAGAGTGTGTCGCGAGCATTATCGATCCACAGGCACTGGAATTCAGCGATTCATGTTCCACTAATTATTGCTATCTTCGATCCGCCTCTTCGGTGTGCCAGCCACGCGCGCAACACGAGAGCGGAAATGGAAAGGAACGCGCTGTAAAACCTGTATCATTACAGCACCAGCGGTTTACAAACGGATGCCAGCTTTGTGCGTGCGTTTTGTAAATGCACCCGCGCGCACGGAGCGCGCTTTGTTATCACACTTTGGTCCGTTACTTTTCCGGACAACTCGCTAAACCGTAATTTTCTAGTTTCTCACAGTGAGGAAAATGTCTGGCAGCCTGTCGTCAAATTTAACCGTTTGTGCAACGCGAATGCATTTTGCAAAGGGGAGGAAAACTGAAAAAGCAGAGACGTAAACTTAAATTTAACGTCTGTTTACTTGAAGATATCATCACGGGGAGTTATAGTAGATATAATATACGACAAGTGGATACGTTTCGGAAAATCACTTGTATTTTATTATAACTTGCAGACAGAAATAATTTCTCACATCGTGTTATACGAAGTTATTCTGCGACTTGACCTGAATTATTTCTGCCGATTATTTCTGTGATTTATTTCTAACGCTAGCATATAGACTTTCCGATTTGTTAACGAGTACTTTGCATTGTATTTATAGTTATAGGCAAATCTTAGCTTACTTCGAAAAAATTATGAAAAAAACACTGACTTCTTAGTGATCTTCTCCGGACAACACGCTAAATTGTTTTGCAGTTCTTAGTGAGAAAACGTCTGGCAATTTGTGATCAAATTTATTACTTATTCCAATATAACAAATATAATATTGCAATAATTGTTTGATTAATATTTATTAATTGAATGAACTTCTGTAATCATCTAGCAGTTTGTGAGCTCTGAAGATTAATTAGAATTGAAAATTATGAAACCACGATTTACACACAAATTTGTTGTCAATTTATAATTTAAGTGATATTGACCGCGAAGCTGATTTTTTTATTTCTTAAATGCTGCGTACACTATGGCAATCGGCAAGTTTATAATAGCAAATTTAAACTGATGTTTTAAATAATTTAATCTCTTACACAAATAATTTAATCCCTTTTTAAAATTAAAATTGTATATATATAAATGTATTTAAATAATTAAACCACATCTAACTAACTACGTCAGTATAAAATGAATTATTAAATTTAATATTAAATTCATTCTTTAATGGAATAAAATTTATCATTATTTGTTCGGGGAAAATAGAAATTAATTTATTATACCACTTTTTCTCAAATGTTTTTTATATCCTGGGATGCATAAAATTATGTGATTTTAATAAATCACGAAAATGAGACGTTGTATTTTCTACGAATTTCTCTTTTTCATTTTCTCAATTTATTAAAGTCATACAAAAATATTCTTGTTTTATTAGAATTATGCTCAATCTCTTTCCTTTTTCGGGATGTAAAAATTTGACTTAAAGTAACAATAATTGATGAAAATGACGTATATACATATATTTTTGTGACAATTACAAAAATAAAGGAGTTTTGGCTTGTTCAAACATGCATGAAGAGAATTAACATGTTTATTCGTTAAAATTAATCTCAAAATGCAACATACAGGATATTCAATATTTACTTATAGTACGTTAAATATTTCGTAGGGAGACGACGAACTGGCCGACGTGTGTACGGTAGCGCTCGGC